AATGCTGTTTTGGATGTATGTCAAGTGTTTTGATGCTATGTACTTATTCTCTCTTCAACTTTACACATATGGTGGCATATTTGACTTTAAATTATTAGTCATATATTAGGAATCTATGAATGTTTTGGTCGTATATAGATAAATTTTCCGTATTGTTGGGAATGGGTGAAAACAAATTATTGTTTGAAAAATGCCTCAATTGAAGTCATTTTAATTTATCAAAACCACAAAAGAGTATATAACTTGATCTGCTACATAATATAGAAACATGGTGAACATGGTATTTTACATTTTAGTTTCTTTGGAATGAATTCAATATAACAACATGATAAACAAACAATAACTATTGCTACATAGTATGTTTAGCTTATTACCTAACTTATTCTTGGACATTTTTGTAAGACTATCATTGACAACAAGTAATGACATGTTAATCGAACTATCTATTACAAGCCACCATGCTCTTCTTTTAAAAGAATGGTATGCTCATAACACATTGCTCGATTAGTATCTTTCCCTCTTTCTATATTTAATTGTTATGAGCAATTACAATCATGATGTATTCAAGGTTATTGTAATTAATTGTTTCACAGGTGAAATGCAATTTTTCACATGCCATTGAAAACACAAATCTTGGAAACGGTACTTCGATCCTTGTAAATCTTGAAAAACCCGACTTCTAATAAAATCGCATGTTTGTGATGTAGTTAAATGTTCATGATCAATTCAGTATGCTATTTTTTTTATTTTTATTAAATCATACTTTTGGATTTTAATATCAATTAAACTGATAAATTCCTTAGTGTTTTTAAATATGCATAGGCAAAGGTCATTTATTTAATGGAAAATTGAACATTTTGCAACATGAATTGATTCTTTTTTGAATTGGCTATAGTAGGTGCAACATATTGGGCACAACTTGCACGTAGTGCGTATGCCGCTAGTTGTTTAAGAAATACTCCCCTCCGTCCCGCTATGATTGTCCCATTTTATCATTTCGGTCCGTCCCACTAAGATTGTTTCATACCTTATTTGGTAAAGTTTGTGTGGTTCTAAATCATTTCTACCTTATTCTTACTTTATCAATTCAATATCAACCATATAAACCCACTTTTATTAATAACCGTGCCACCTTTTCTTGTCCCAAACTTAGGGGGACGGAGATAGTACGTAATATGGAGTATGACTTTCTAAGTTTAGTTACTGTATCTAATAACTTAGTCATGGTAACTTAAATTCAAGTTTTACACTTGTGACTATGAAACTATACTATAGTAACTATTAATCATATTTTTGTAAATAAATTTCATTTCAATAATATTTTTGAAAAAAACAAAAAAAGTGATTAAACATTGTGAATATCTTCAAGCTTGATGTACGGAGTAGCATTTTGGTAGGTGGTTTCTATGGATGGGGATTCAGATCCTCTGCCGTGCGGCAGAGGTGGCTTGCGGCATCGGACGGGCAGAAGAGGAAGCAAGCGCCTCGAGATGCGGAGCTCCACGATCTTCGGCCGTTGGTTTGTTGATCGGACGGCTTAAGAAAGTCGGGCACCCTACCTTGCGGCAAAGCAAGGAAGAGGTTCCGGATCTGGTTTCTATACTCCCTCTTTATTTTAGTGTTTGTTACACTTTCCTTTTTCGGATGTATTTAAAAGTTTGTTACTTTTTTCCTTTTTGATATGTTTTTCCTTTAAAAATACACAACTACCCTTGTCTTTCAATTTAATTTGAGAAATCAGTGAAGTGTCTATGCTTTCCTAGCACTCGATGATCCAAATTAATTAATTTTTATTAAACTTTAAATGAAAGGAATTTAAATACAATGAAAGAATTTAAATGAAAGGAATTTAAATACAGTGAAGTGTCTTTCAATTTCATTTAAACTTTAAATGAAAGAGTGCAAGCCAAGACCAACACAACGTATTCAGCGAACCTCTTGCAGACCTGCATTGACAACAAATCCCACACTGCCGGCAAGCTTCTCCATGGCCATGTCGTCCGGCTGGGCCTCTCTTCCGACACTTTTCTGGCAAATCACATCACCGAGTGCTATTCGAAGTGTGGTCTCACCCAGTCGGCCCGCAACGTCTTTGATCAAATGCCCTGTCCTAACATATATTCCTATCATTCTATGTTGGCGGCTCACTGCAAGGCGGGCCAGTTAGATCATGCCACCCAATTGTTTGACAAAATGCCTGAGCGGAAGTGTCTCGTGGAACACTATGATCAGTGCTTTAGCGCGAAATGGGTATGAAAGAAAGGCATTGGAGGTTTACTGTATGATGATTTCTGACTGTTTTGAGTCGACCCATATCACCTTTGTGAGCGTTTTGAGTGCTTGTGGTGGACTGAGGGGTGTCGACTTTGGGAGGGCATGCCATGGGTTGGCTGTAAAGTGTGGGTTTGACAAGAATGTGTACGTCAGAAATGCATTGTTAAGTATGTATGTGAAATGCGGCTGTGGTGGGGATGCAATCAAGATCTTCACGGTTTTGCCGAAACGTAATGAGGTTTCCTTCACAGCCATGATATCAGGTTTGGTTGACATTGACCAGGTGCAAGAGGCTTTTGGCATGTTTAAGTTTATGCAGCGGAGTGGATTCATGATTGATTCCATTTTGTTGTCAAGCTTTCTCAAAGTTTGTGCTAAAAATGATATCCCTAACTTTATGTTTGATGACCAAATCAGCGCTTGGGAAACTAGTAATGTGCAAGGAAAACAAGTTCACAGCCTTGCTATTAAACTTGGATTTGAAAATGATCTTCGGCTGTGTAACTCATTACTCGAGGTGTACGTCAAGAACAAAGATATGGCAAGTGCCGAGGCGAATTTGGACAGAACTATGAAATAGAAAAAGCAATGGAATACATGGAAAACATGCATAATTGTGGCTTTGAACCTGATGAGGTTACTTACATTAATATGCTAGCAGGTTGTGTCAAATCCGAGGATGTTCAAGCTGGCCGTTTGCTATTTGATAGGATGACATGCCCAAGTTTAAGCTCATTTAATGCCATGCTATCAGGCTACTCACAGAACGGGGATCAAAATGAAGCGATAAATCTTTTCAGGAAAATGCAGTTTCAAAATGTGCGACCAGATCGGACACCTTTGGCTATCATGCTCACTTCGTGTGCAGAAATATCACTTTTGGAATGTGGGAGACAGCTCCATGCTTCTTCATTCAGAAATGATACCCAAGGTGACATATACATTGCTAGCAGTCTTATTGGCATGTACTCAAAATGCAGTTGCATAAAGATGGCAACTTTTGTATTTGATAGATTGTCTCAGTTAGATATAGTTTGCTGCAATTCCATGATTTCGGGGTTTAACCTCAATTCATTGGACAAAGAAGCTGTTTCCTTTTTTAAGCAAATGGTGAAGATGGGAATACCTCCTAGCGAATTCACTTATGCATCTATATTGAGCAGTTGTGCGAAATTGTTTTCTATATCACTTGGGAAACAAATTCATGCCATGATAGGTAAAGATGGATATGCTACTGATGTTGTAGTAGGGAGTGCGCTAACCAATATGTATTCTAAATGTGGCGATATAGATGGGGCGCATCTCTATTTTGACATGATGCCTTGTAAGAACACTATTACTTGGAATGAGATGATACATGGGTAAGCACAGAATGATGGGCAAGGAGAACAAGCTTTTATCTTATACGAATATATGATCCAAACAGGGAATAAGCCAGATGGTGTAACATTCATTGCTGTTTTAACTGCTTGTAGTCATTCAGGATTAGTAGATAGGGGGATTATCATTTTCCACTCGATTCAGAAAGAATATGGAGTGGAGCTTCTTGTTGATCATTACACTTGTATTATTGATTGTTTGGGTCGAGCAGGCCGGTTTAATGAAGTGGACGAGATTCCATATAAGATGCCATTCAAAGATGACCCTATTGTGTGGGAGGTATTGCTTAGTACATGTATGGTTCATTCAAATGTCAGTTTAGCAAGAAGAGCAGCAAATGAGCTTTTGCGGCTGGATCCAGAGAATTCTGCCCCTCATGTTCTTCTAGCCAATATGCATTCATCTTTGGGAAGATGGGATGAATCAAAGGTGGTTAGAGAAAGGATAGTTGAAGAGAATATAGTTAAGGATTCCGGTTTTAGTTGGGTGGAGAAACATAGTGGATTTGAAGAGAATGAGGTCTCTACTGTGGTTTCCTGAAAATGATGAAATAGGACAATTGATGTCTATATTGTTCTTCCTGATAATGATGAAACAGGACACTGTAGAAGGTGTCACATTTGAAGAAAATCGTATTCGAACACCCTAGCTACTGGTGGTAATGTTTTTTCCTGTATCCTATTGTTATTTTAGATAATTTATATGTTCATGATTTTGATTATCCAAACATTCCTGTTTTTTTGGTGGGATATATTGGGGCTGGAGATGTATGGTCTAAACTCTAAATGACGGTCATCGGTGAGGGGCGTCTTTAATTTTATTTTGGACTCTAACCTGGCATGTATCATATTCATATCATGGTTCCCTTGAATAATTTCATGGTGGTCTATTGTATCGAACTATCGATTATATTCGGAGAAAGTATAAGTTGATTTATCCCTTATTAAAGTTCACAAAAAAATTATTAAATAATGATGGGAACACTAAAAGACTATAAAACACCATATGATATTGCAGTATTATGTAGGGCAGAAATAACCACTTAAACATAATTACAAGACTGAAAGTGATTATCTTAAGTTTCTTAACAATTCAAATATTAAACCTATTATTATTATTCCCATGTAATTGCAGGATCAGAAGTGCTTTCCATTTATGTTTTACAGGAGTGCTTTGTAAAATTTTCTTTTGCAGGAAAAGGAGATTCCATAAGCTCAAATGTTTCTGGCTAGTCTGTACCCTGTTGCCTTTCAGTGCTATATCGCCCTCAAGTTATACGCTCTGCGTACTAGCAGTGGGGCCATAAAATAATCAGTCTCCACCCATGGCTGTTTTAGTTCTGATGCTGATAGGCTCGTTCCGTTCCTATCTTTTCACCTATGCTTTGGGTGTTAATTGTCTAATTTTTACAATTAATCGGGTGACTATTGGGGGTTTTGAGTGAAAATTTGTTATTTTTCGGTTCCGGTGGCATTCATATTCAGTGTAGTATTTTTGTACACAATTTGACATTCTTGGAGTAATTTGATTGTAAAGTTACATATTATTAGCGGGTGTGGTGAGTTGTTATTGTACAGGCCGAGTTTGCGGTAAATATGTTTGAACCAGATCATTTAAGGACTGTTTTTGAAGTTAAGTGCAATCCAAAATGAAAAAAAAAGGACAGCAGCAGTTTGTTTAATTGATAGCAGCCCAAAAAGAGAGTAAGAAGGAGCTGGGGTTTTTCCTGGAGTAAGCAGCCCAGCCTGGACTCCATTCATTCCTCCCACTTCTGAAATTACTTAGCCGCACCAGCAGTTTTTTTCATCGTTCTTTCTGTTCGTAGACAAGTCCTGATATCCGTCAATTAGCCGCAGCCGGCAGTAGTAACCAGAAGACCAAGTAGCCGCACTTTTTATTTTCTGATTCATTTAGTAGCAATTAGCCGCAGCAGTAATCCATAACCAAGGAACTTCGCTTTGCTTTCATTTCAAGTATTGTAAGTTTAGTTATTTACGGCATTAGTTCTTCAATTTTGACTGAATTTCGAATTTCTTTGTTTCCAATTAGCAATCTCAGATTTTCCCATCAAATACTCATAATTCACTCTCTATTTCTAGCTTCTTATCATGTTTATTATGCTCATTAATATTTTTGTGATGTTAATTTTAGTTATGAGTAGCTAATTTCATATAGGGTTTGAATTGGGACTAGGGTTCATGGGTTCTTGAGGGTGTGAATTTAGTTCTTTAAAATTCAATTAATCTTCTGGAAAATTTGTATAAGATTAATCATAATTGTCTATATGAATTTGATCACCTCATATATGAATGTCTGGATTTAATTCAGTTCTTGTCTATGAGAAATTGAGTTAAATTAGGTCGGATCTTATACAAGCAATCTGATCTTAGAAATAAGTTAGGATTGTGATAATATGATTTTGCTCTTGTCTATGAGAAGTGATTTCATTTTCTGTCCAGGAATAATTGAATATTAATTTACTTGATTCTAATCCCGAAAGAACACCCAGAACCCGAACCATCCAATTTGAACCCTGTTTTTAATATCCTGAATCAATTTAATTTAATTTTTTTTCTCTATTTAATTTTGCACTCACTATTAGTTAGTTTTATTTTTAAACCACTCAAAAAATATTTATTCGGAAAGATTACCATGACTTGTGCTAACCTATGATCACGGACTGTATTTAAAACTTCCTTTTTGCCACTCCTTGAGAGACGATACTCGTGGTCTGGTTATTCTTCGGATTAGCCAACTACGTTTTACTCACTAAAAAATACACCGATCAAATGGCGCCGTTGCCGGGGAGTGGCACGGTTGTTTGTTAAGTACTTTTCTGTGGAATAGGTAAAAGCAAGTCGGTGAGACTTTCTATTTTTTTCCTGTTATTTGTGTGTCGTTTTTTGTGTTCTTTGCACGTGAACTAAGTTGCAGGAACCAGTGCATGCACACTCGCTCCTCGGAGGAACAAGATTTAATTGCAGGTTATTCTAATCCTGAACGCTTATTCCGAGGACGAGCTAAAAGGAGATTGCTAGAACACTTGGACAAGATGGCCGATCAGACAACTCTGGAGACGTTGACGCCTAATTATGTGGCGAGAAATAGCATTGGGGCACCCACCATTGAGGCCAACAATTTTGAAATCAAGCCGGCCATGATTCAGATGCTTGCTAATAATCCATTTTGTGGATACGCCCATGAAGATCCAATGGATCATATTGAGAGCTTTATTCAGACTTGTGCCACGTTCAAATATAACGGGGTATCCAGCGAGGCAGTGAGGTTGACTTTATTCCCATTCTCTTTGAGAGACAAGGCATCACGGTGGCTCCGTAGCTTTCCAAACGGGCACTTTGATACATGGGAGAAGCTTCATCAAGCATTTATGCAGGAGTATTTTCCTCCCTCTGCCGCTATCAAGGTTCAGACGGAAATTCTCAATTTCACTCAAGCTCCGACCGAATCTTTCAGTGAAGCATGGGATAGGCTGAAGGCGTTGAAAAGGAAGTGCCCTGAAACATTCATGAATGCAGCAACTATTATGTGCAGATTTTATAATGGGCTTCGATTGGAGTATATGAGAGAGCTAGACCGGGCATCTCAAGGGGGTATGTTTCTGAAATTATCCCCACAGGCAGAAGAGCAAATAATTGAAAACTTGGCTTCAAATGACAAGTATTGGTATGCGGGTAAAGAGAGAGCTCAAAATCCACCCGGTTTGCTCAATCTTGATCCCATCACTGCACTTACAGTGAAGATTGAGGGGCTGGTAGTGGAAGTGAAAGACTTGAAGGCGCAGAACTCTCAACAGCAGCAAGTTCATAATATTGGGGCATATCAGCCCTCTTATCCTATGTATTCTGCCCCACTTCCTGTTCGAGCAAGCTATCCAAGCCCAACTGGCCAAGAACTCACTTTATCTTGCGAGATGTGCATGGGAGCTCACCTCACTCACACCTGTCCTCTTTATGTTCAGAATCAGGCATCACCAGTGGTCCAGAACGTCAATTTCATGGAATATGGTCAAGGCCAGAGAGGAGGTGGGCAGTTTTTCAACAACCAAGTCCAGAGGGGAAGTTTTCAGCAAGCAGGAGGTTTATGGAGGCCCGAAAATCAGAACCAAGGGCAGCGGAATGCCCCTAATTTTCAAGGAAATTTCCAGATTAGAGGCCATCCAAACCAGCCCGCTTATATCCCGCCTCATCAAAGACAGCTTGAGCAGCCTCCTGTAAATGCGGCGTTGGAGAAAACAGTGGTTGAATTAGCCAAAAATCAGACTGATATGTATCAACGTTTCAGCAATTTGGAAGCTCTCATTCGCCAGCTTGGTTCACTTGCTCCTAGAGAAACGGGCAGCCTTCCGAGTTCAACAGAACCTAACCCAAGGGAGCATGTGCAAGCTGTTACGCTACGAAGCGGGAGAACACTTCCAGAAGTTTCTACTCCGCCAATGTCTCAACAAGATGATGACCAGCAGCTTCAAGGCCCCAAATCCCAGGTTGAAGAAGAACCAGTGGCTGCCCCTATTCCAGCCAAGAGTGAAGAAGTCCAGAATGAAGAAGCTCAGAAGAAAAAGGAGAGTAAGAAGACTCCACCCCTTCCGTTCCCTACACGGGTGAAGAAGAGCAATGATAACACGAACTTGATCAGATTTATGGAGCATCTAAAACAGCTCCATATCAATATGCCATTCATGGAAGCATTGACAGAGATGCCGAGGTACGCGAAGTTTCTGAAGGACCTCCTCACGAAAAAGAGGAGGTGGGAAGAGCCAGAAGTGGTGGATCTCAATGCAGAATGTTCAGCGGTTGTTCTGAGGACCATGCCACCAAAACGAAAAGATCCAGGGAGTTTTCTTGTACCTTGTTCTATCGAAAATTTTATGTTTAATAATGCTTTAGCTGATTTAGGAGCTAGCATCAACCTGATGCCTTCCTCTGTGGTCATGAAACTTGGCTTGGGTGAACTTAAGCCCACTCGTATGAGCCTCCAGCTAGCGGACCGATCGGTGAAATACCCGAAAGGAATTCTAGAGGATGTATTAGTACGAGTGGACAAGTTCATATTCCCTGTCGATTTTGTGGTCATGGACATGGAGGAAGATCGTGAGACTCCACTTATTTTAGGGAGGCCCTTTTTGGCTACTGCTAGGGCCCTTGTTGATGTTGCTGATGGTTCACTTTCTCTGAGAGTTGGGGACGATGTGTGCACTTTTAAACTCTCAGATGTGATGAGTAAGGCCTCAGACCCCACTGAATCATGCAATTATCTTGATATGTTTGAGTCAGTGGAGGGTTATTTGTTTGGAGGCGATAGTGATATTACCCCACCGGATAGTGACATTCATTATGCGGGGGATATAGTGGCTGAAAATGAAGAAGAAATGACTGTTGATTGTGAGCAGGTGATTAGGGATGATGTTTTCCCTAAGTTGCTTACTGAGTTTGAGGAGCAGCCCACTGATAAGGTTACTCCTGAACTCAAACCACTCCCTAGTCACCTGGAGTATGCATTTTTGGACACAGAGGGCCAACGGCCTGTCATAATTTCAGCTCAGTTAGAGTCGGGACAGAAGGAATTTTTTTTGGATGTCCTTAGGTGCCACGAGCAGGTCATTGCTCGTAAGCTTGAGGATCTTCGTGGGATTAGCCCAATCTTCTGTACCCACAAAATTAAGTGTGAGGAGGGGTATAAACCAGTCGTGCAACCGCAACGACGCTTAAACCCCAAGATGATGGATGTTGTAAAGGCTGAAGTCCTGAGGCTTCTGGATGTGGGTATAATTTACCCGATTTCAGATAGCCAATGGGTTAGCCCTACTCATGTGGTCCCCAAGAAAGGGGGTATGATAGTTGTTAAGAACGAGAAGGGGGAACTCCTACCTAGTAGGACTGTGACTGGGTGGCGGAAGGTCATTGATTATCGTAAACTGAATGAGGCCACCCGGAAGGATCACTTTCCCTTACCTTTTATTGACCAGTTGATTGAGAGTTTGGCGGGGCATGCTTATTATTGTTTCATTGACGGGATGAGCGGGCACTTTCAAATACACGTTGATCCCGTTGACCATGTAAAGACCACTTCTACTCGCCCATTTGAGCCAGACTAGGAATGAGATATTATCGTCAAGCTAGTGACGTTAAAGAAGCGCTTATGGGAGGCAACCCATCATAAAAAAAATAGAATTAGGAGTTCAGTATTTCTTGTTTTTGCATTTCCCCCCTTTGTTTTTGTGATTTCGTCTTGTGGTGTTGCAGTTGGATTTCTTTGTTGCTTTGAATTGCATATGCAACCTGGTTATCATAGACAGGTGAGGATGGAGCTCCTCAAGGCTGTCAGCTGCAGATTACTTTGCAGCAAGCCCGAAAGCGGTATGAGAGCTGGACGCAACTTCAAACACTTGCAGGGCAATGGTTAGAGGCCTACACATGTTCAAGGAGTTGGGGTTTCGCTGGACAGAAACTTGGCAGCAGCAGAGGAACATTTCTGGCAGATTCTGGGAGATTTTGGACGGTGTGAGATGTCGACTTTTGAGGCCAGAACAGCTGGTCCTTGGCCGTTTTCTGTCAGCATAAGCATCACAGTACATGAGGGAGGAACCAGTTGGATGCCACACTCTCTTATCCGGTTCAGATTGAAGGGAAGCAATTTCAATACACTTATTTAGTTCGGTAACCGGCATAGGTGCAGGCAGAGTAGCTCCAGCAGCTCACTTTTGGTTTACCAGCAAGCTTTGGCAGCATAAATGGGAAATTCACAGTTATGGCACACTTGCCACGCTTTCTCAAGAGTTGAAGGACTTCAAGTAGCGTACGAGGCAGACTGTGTGCAGGATTCAGCGGCATGTATGCATCGAGGAGACTGAATTCAGCCTTATTAGGGAGGTTATTCACCGCCGTTTGGCTTGTACGGTATTCTGCCAGCTCTTACTACGCTACTAATAATGTGTGCTTACTGTCATATTACTCCTCTTGTTGATTTGTGTTGATTATTATTCTGATTATGATGTGCTGCCGGACTGAAAATCATTTTATTCTTAAACTTGCCCCTGTTATTTTTGTTTTGATCTTTTCTTTGACCTCGAGGGCGATGTCACCCCTAAGTGTGGGGAGGTTTGGTTTTAGCTTGGACATGGCATTTGGTGATGAAATTATTCTGCCCAACGACATTTTGAGGTGTACGAGTTCTTTTCTGGTTTAGCAACGCAACAGAGGTAACTTGTTAATCTTTATTTTCTTTTGTGAACTTCCATCTCCTCCATCTTTCTTGGAAAGGATAAGTAATGGTGTAATCATCGGGGTGGTGTGTATATTCTTGGGAGATGTTGGCATGTTGGATGGTTTGATTTGTGTTGATTAAATTCGGTCTTACTCATGATTCACTAGTTTGCCTCAGTAATTGCTTGACTGGCCAGGTGTTGAAAATCCTTACTCCGTAAGGAGCTCTGCTTTCTAAGCATATCGGGATAACTTCATGCTAAGCAGGTAACTGATTCTTGTAATGGGGCTACACTTCGTGTGTCGAGAATTTCATCCCCGAAATGGGGCTCTGCTCATCTCGCGAATCACCTCGTGTGAGAGTTGAGTACACAGTAATGAGATAAACTCCCAGGCCCTGGAGCTTGAATCAGTCCTGTAATCCAGAACCTGGTCAACTTTTCATATATATAAAAAAAAAGAGAGAATCACGAGTATACCAGTTTTCATCACACAACTCTTGGGTTTTTGGAATGATTGGTGGTTTGAATTTCACACACCTACACCGTTGGGACCCTCATGCTTTTCTCTACATTTTAGTCGGTTGGAGAGGAATTTTACTTTTGAAAATATTGTTTAACATGTGAATCTTGGTTCCGTTGTTAAGAAAGAAAAGACCTTGTGCAATCATTTGTTTTGGGTGTGAATGATTTTTGAACCAGGTGTTATAGGTGATTATTTTGTTTTCCGTGGATTAATGCACTGTTGCTTGGGGGCAAGCAACGCTCAAGTGTGGGGAGATTTGATAGGCTCGTTCCGTTCCTATCTTTTCACCTATGCTTTGGGTGTTAATTGTCTAATTTTTACAATTAATCGGGTGACTATTGGGGGTTTTGAGTGAAAATTTGTTATTTTTCGGTTCCGGTGGCATTCATATTCAGTGTAGTATTTTTGTACACAATTTGACATTCTTGGAGTAATTTGATTGTAAAGTTACATATTATTAGCGGGTGTGGTGAGTTGTTATTGTACAGGCCGAGTTTGCGGTAAATATGTTTGGACCAGATCATTTAAGGACTGTTTTTGAAGTTAAGTGCAATCCAAAATGAAAAAAAAAGGACAGCAGCAGTTTGTTTAATTGATAGCAGCCCAAAAAGAGAGTAAGAAGGAGCTGGGGTTTTTCCTGGAGTAAGCAGCCCAGCCTGGACTCCATTCATTCCTCCCACTTCTGAAATTACGTAGCCGCACCAGCAGTTTTTTTCATCGTTCTTTCTGTTCGTAGACAAGTCCTGATATCCGTCAATTAGCCGCAGCCGGCAGTAGTAACCAGAAGACCAAGTAGCCGCACTTTTTATTTTCTGATTCATTTAGTAGCAATTAGCCGCAGCAGTAATCCATAACCAAGGAACTTCGCTTTGCTTTCATTTCAAGTATTGTAAGTTTAGTTATTTACGGCATTAGTTCTTCAATTTTGACTGAATTTCGAATTTCTTTGTTTCCAATTAGCAATCTCAGATTTTCCCATCAAATACTCATAATTCACTCTCTATTTCTAGCTTCTTATCATGTTTATTATGCTCATTAATATTTTTGTGATGTTAATTTTAGTTATGAGTAGCTAATTTCATATAGGGTTTGAATTGGGACTAGGGTTCATGGGTTCTTGAGGGTGTGAATTTAGTTCTTTAAAATTCAATTAATCTTCTGGAAAATTTGTATAAGATTAATCATAATTGTCTATATGAATTTGATCACCTCATATATGAATGTCTGGATTTAATTCAGTTCTTGTCTATGAGAAATTGAGTTAAATTAGGTCGGATCTTATACAAGCAATCTGATCTTAGAAATAAGTTAGGATTGTGATAATATGATTTTGCTCTTGTCTATGAGAAGTGATTTCATTTTCTGTCCAGGAATAATTGAATATTAATTTACTTGATTCTAATCCCGAAAGAACACCCAGAACCCGAACCATCCAATTTGAACCCTGTTTTTAATATCCTGAATCAATTTAATTTAATTTTTTTTCTCTATTTAATTTTGCACTCACTATTAGTTAGTTTTATTTTTAAACCACTCAAAAAATATTTATTCGGAAAGATTACCATGACTTGTGCTAACCTATGATCACGGACTGTATTTAAAACTTCCTTTTTGCCACTCCTTGAGAGATGATACTCGTGGTCTGGTTATTCTTCGGATTAGCCAACTACGTTTTACTCACTAAAAAATACACCGATCAGATGCTCATAAATCATAAACTTCATCTGGGTTATGCCATCTATGAGTTCTGGTTTGACAATTGCCATTGTCATGCTACTGCTGCTCTTGAATAGGTACGAACACGGTCCTAGTTCCTGATCGGTCTTTAAACCAAATGCCGAACTGGCCGGCCGACCGGTCTTGGACCGGAGCCTGTACCGGTGATCGGGTATTTGCAGACTAGTAGTCAACGAAATAGAGTAGGAATCAATCAGGAACTGGATACAAAACCTTTGTTTTGCCCAGCCCAAAAACAAGACGGGCATTACATGTTGGATTCCCGGGGACTAAACTGTGCTTTCTTAACATTGCTGGTCTGGAATCTGAAAGTGTCCATACATACTCAATTGGGTTATCTTCTCATTGTTAACATTTATAAGGCATAATTTGTTTTTTTTTTTTTAACTTTTTACATGTTTGACTCATGTTTGACTCATATTAGCTCCCCAAAATCTTTTGGGAATAACTACTGAATAAGGCTTGATGTTGTTGTTGTACATGTTTGACTCATATTTTAAATATTTCTGTATTACGACCATGTACTAAGGTGCGTTATGCTAGTTGTTACATTGTTTATTAATAAATATACTCCGATCTCTCTAGAAATCGGACATTCAATTGAATATTTTCTATCGCTTTATTCAGTATTACGGTTATATATCTCTGCGTTAAGCTCATGTTTGGACATCAATATATATATATATATATATATATATATATATATATATATATATATATATATATATATATATATATATATATATATATATAAAAGAGGAACTTTTTAAGAGCATACGGCGCGCCACATAATCCCGCCATGTCATCATATGTAATAATTATGTACTCCCTCCGTCCCGGGGAGAAGTTCCCAATTTCCTTATTTGGATGTCCCAAAAGAAACTTCCCATTTCCCTAAATCGAAAGTTATCCTACATTAAAACAGTGCCAAACAGTGCAAAACAGTGCCAAACAGTGTCGAAACAGTGCCAAACAGTGTCGAAACAGTGCAAAACAGTAAAATTTACCCCTCAGTAACTTTATTTCCTAAAAATGTGTTGGTCCCAGTTTATGCAGACTAACACACAGCTAGATGGTATTCAACGATTAAACAAAAGAAAAGAAGATCTGATAATGATAAGGCAATATCGAGAACAGAGAAATTTTTCTTCTAGTTTATCGAGAACTATTTGGGCAGCGTAAGGCTAAAAGTGTATTGATCGATTGATGTCTCACGGTACCTGTACACAAGGCGCATATTTATAGGCGCTGTACAGGTTACCGATTTAGGTAAACCTTGGAAGTTGGGCCATGGCCTTTTTGGGCCTTATTCCCTTTACCTTATTTATTACATAATAATACTAATCTAATACCATAAACGGTATAACTAGTCTACTTTATTAAACAAGACTTAACAGACAAACTTGACCCACAATAAAAGTTCTAACAATCTCCCCCTTTGTGGTCAAGTGCCGTCTTGCTGGGTTTCTTCATTTCTGAGCTTTGTAATAGTTCTTTCTGAGATTAAGTGCATGCTCATAGCTCCTGAGTGAATTTCTTTTATCAAGTTGCTTTTCAATGGCCTGTAGGATGTTGTCAATTCTGTGTGCTTCCTTTAATTCAGCATCTGTTGCATCTGCATACTGTTGCTGTCTTTCTTTGAATGCTTCTCTGATCGGTTGCAGTTTTTCTTTCACAATCTTCTGGGTTCCGTCACAGTATTTGTTAATTTCATCAATGAATAGCATACGTTTCTCACCATTGTGATTCAGATAGATAAGCGTGATTGGACTATCAAAGATGTAATACTCAGGAAAGTCTTCCAATTCTTGTCCATACAGCTTTGGTCTTGTGAGGTTCGTCTTTGGCATGTTTGTTTCAAGAGCCATCTGAAGATCATGAGAGGCAAAGAATTTGATTTGTCTGATCATAAACCGCTTGAGTGCATCCAGCCCATCTTGTGTAATTTTGTCACGAATGCCTGGAATTTCCTGGAATGCAAGATACATCTGATAGATGTCGTCCATCTTTAGCATGTAGAGATCATTTTCCTTGCATGTGAATACAGTTCCGTCAGAGCGCTGAAGCTGGTAGACTGATAGTTTGATATCTTGAAAACTGGTTTCAACCACATTGAGAACAGCCCAGACAGGGTCCTTGGCTGTTTGAAGTTCGTGTTGCCAGACTTCTCTCTGTTTTCCCATATAGTGATGACTAAGTAGAAACAGCTGTCCGCCCTTGTTTTGTCCTCGTAGATGGTTAAGACCACGAAACTTCAATTCATCCAGTTCTCTGACCTTATCCTCTTTTCGCCAGATGTTTTCCCTAATTTCCTCTTGAAAGGGGGCGTTGATGTCGATCTTTTCCCAGGGCTTCTCATTTCTGGGCATTTGAGCCGCTGTTTGTCTAATGATCGCCTCAAGCTCCTTGGGTGGTGTCTCATAGTTTTCTCCCTCCTTGAGTTCATCTTGATCAAGTAGAATCACATCAGCAGCACAGTTGACTAAGAGATCTCTGAGGTATGCTCTTCGCTGTGCTTCATCTACATCTGTCCAGAGTTCAGACCATTTGTTATGCACCAGCATTTCCTCAAGTTCATCGTGCATTTGATCATTGTAGTAGCTGGAGGAAGCCTGTTGCTGCTGTGGCGACACGTCTGGCGTAGCATCGGGATCCTCAATTATCTCAACACGATGCTCTTGCGCAGAGACTAGACCTCTATACTTCGTTTCATGCAGCCAATCCTCCCTTGGCTGAGAAAGTGAAACACCGGGATCCTCAGGATTGCCCGTTGACATCAGTTTCGAACTAGGTTCTAGCTGATGGCCTGAGTAAGAGGATGTACTCGTGGTAGCATCATCAGGACTTCCATTCCGTCCTTGGTTAACATCTATAGGAGATGCACCTCGGGATGTTATGTCTAGCTCGACCATGCTAGAAAGAGTGGCTAGGGATTTATGGCTGGCTGAAGTAGTGGGTTGCTCATTGGTAGAGGTGGAGGGTTGGTTTGGCTTTGAGGGTTGGCTAGTAGAAGCAACATGCTCAAGTATCCGCGGGCACTTGTTCTCCCCCTCATGAGAATCTGAATCATCAGGATCCTCATGTGAACGTTTAGCGCCACGGAGACTGTCACGGCATGTGTTCTGTGTATCTAGAGCATGGAGAAGGGCTTTTTGAGGAGGGGTGAGGTTGCCTTCTTCCATGTCTAGTATACGGTCGTAGATCTCAGCTACAAGATCCTCGGAGGGTACAGTTGTTAGGTTGGGTTTGGTCGTTGTAGGGGAGAATACTAGTTCTGTATCCTGGGTTCCCTTGATGAGGATGGTTGTTGGTTTTCTATGGCTAAAGGTTTGGAAATAGGAATGGAAATGGTTGGGGGCTGTGTCGTTTGAGGTTTGGGTGGTATATCCTGAACAACTAGGGTACTTCCAGAGTTTTGTGCACTAGCGGTTATTGCTTCATGCACCCATGGCTTAATGGTAGACTCTAGAAAGCTATTCAGATATACGAGAATGTCTTCGGGGATAATGGTACCAGTTACAGGGGTTGTAACTGTTGTCACAGCATCAGTGAAGATAGCTGATGTGTGGCCTGCATTCAATGATTGAGGCATTGTTGGCGTAGCAGGGCTTCCGACCATCATAGTTTGCACTCCGGTCGTTGCATTCAGGGTGAGTGCACCTGTATGTGTAGTGAATAGTGTAGGTGTCCTAGAAAAATGTGAAAATGTAGGAATGGTGACACCTAGACTCGATGTGATAGAACGGATGGGGGTAGTGGTCCGGGGCTGTTGACCACTAAGTCTCTCAGCAGATTCGGAAGGAATCAGTGAGGTCGGTGTAAGTTCCCCTTGAGTTATTGAAACCCCACTCTGTTGGGAGACTGGAGAGTGGATGGGAGATGGCTATGCATGCGCAGTTGAACCGGATGCTGCGACTTCTACCCGGGAACTGACAAGGTCAGCTCCTGCTCCTAGGGGCGTGGTTCGGTCTATAGTGACGAAGGTGTCACAGTCATCGTACAGTGCCAGCTCTTCTTCCACTGCACTCTTCTTTCGGAGCTTCTTCTTAGGCTGTGATGATGCAGGCTTCTCATTGCGTTTCTTGGAGCGCTGCTCACTGATGATGATCCCTTTGAGTGGTCGGGGTGTGAGTGCAGCCTCAATATCTTCTGATGAGGAGTCGGAGTCTATCGGAATGGCATGTTTACCAGCTCTCTTCCTGTTGCTGATCAGGACTCCCTCCATGTCATCATCATCATCTGCATCATCATCATCCTCATCTCTTCGTTCATTCCCTTTGGCCATGCTATCGGAGGCCTCATCACCAGCCTTATTAGAAGGGGCCTGGCTTGATGGTTCATCGGCAGTGTCCTCAGCATTAGGGTGGCCCTCAGCAGTCTGGGTCCTCTCGGAAGAGTTAGCAGATTGATCATCATTAGGCCGGGTTGCCACTGGTTTCTGTGGCGGGGCTCTCTTCTTCTTACCCTCACGTTCACTCGGCTTGGTCCCCTGGGAAGGTCCAGCTGGGTTTTGCTGAACCATAGGGACCGTTCTCTTCAGCGACTCTTTGTAGTCGATGACTGCTTTATCCCTCGGATTTGCAAGGTCAAGTAGAGAGTCCGGGATAGGTAGTGCTTCAGCCTTGTTGCTGTCTCTTTGAAAGTACTTGAGCTTTGGGGCGGTGAAGTGCCTGTCCTCCTTACGCTTTGGTATTGAAGGGGTGGCTTCCAACATATTGTGGATCATCAGCGCCAGCCACCGAGCGTAGGGGATGGTGTTTCCTTTGTTGTTCTCTTTAATCTTCACTTGATCCATCAGCTCCGTCCAGAAGAGTTGGGCCATGTCGTAGTTCATATCAAAGGCAATCCCATGGAAGATTTGCAGAATTTGCTTGTTGCACTTGTCGTGTCCGGCGTGCTTAGGAGACAAGCATTTGTTGACCAGGCCGAACAGACTCTTCCATGGGTGCGGAAGATTTGAGATTGTGAAGTTTGACAGCAATGGCAGTGGGCTGTCATATCCCAGATCTTTCATCCCCTTTATCAGTTCTTCGTTGGAGGGGAATGGTGCGTAGCTTTGGTGCACTGGGAGCTTCAGGATCTCCCGGATTGTAGATGGTGTCAGCACCACTCTTTTGTCACCCAATTTGGTCATGATTTTGGACCGATCCTTCTTGCTCTCAGTTCGCATGCAGCCCCAGAATTGCTGCAGGTATACCTCTGGCACCGGTTTGGTTTCATTGAATGCAAACCAGAGGTAGTGCTTCTGTAGAATAGAGAGAATGACTGGGTCCTGACATTTGAAAAGTTTTAGGTCCAGTTGAAAATTGTTGTCATAGATTGGGACCCAGTTCTCCTCCGGGTACAGTTCATTGCCTGATTGTGCTGTTCTGTCTGTTCCTGACATGATTGACTGAAAGAAATGGGTCAGCACAATTGTTCGTTTGAAAGTTTTATTTTTGTTCTGTTTTTGCAATTTTCCAGATCAGGTGTGTATTGGTGGGACCTCGAGAAAATTTCTGAGTGTAAACCACGAGAACCAACTTCTCGAGGTTTGAACATCGAGAAGCTCTTCTCGATATTCAAATATCGAGAACTTGGTTCTCGATATGAAAGTATCGAAAAG